AAACATAGTTCCTGGCAGAGTTCACCGCCAACCAAAGGCACTGGAAGACATTGGTTAGCCTCATGCAAGTACGACAAAGGAAAGGTGAAACCTTGAGGGAATGTTCTGCAAGGTTCAATGCTGAGGCCCTTCAAGTCATAGCTCTAGACCAATTGGTAACTATGACATCCATCATGAGCAGGTTGTGCTCCTTAGTGTTTAGCTTCTCGCTACAAAAGAACCCTCCTCCAACCTGATCGTGCTCATGAAGCATGTGCAGAAGTACATGAACGCCGAGGAAGCCTAGGCACTATGAAGGAGTGAAGAGGACCAACATGATCGGAAGCAAAAGGAGCATGATGAGTGCAAATCGAACAAAGATAGTAAGATACAGGACTGCAAACCGAGGACCTCACTGTTGACGTGCAAGAACTTTACTCCCCTAAACATGCCGCGGGCCGAGATATTGATGCAAATCCCTGATCGCAGCTTTGTCAAGTGACCCGAAAAGATGAAAACCCAGGGGCAACAAGAGGAATTGAGACAGGTATTGCATTTTCAACCTAGACCATGACCACGACACTAAAAGTTGCCACGACCTTTGCCACCACCTGGAAGACCTCGTCCGATGCAGATACCTCCGTGGGTTCAACGATATCAAAGAGCATAAACCCAAAGAAGAGCTGCACCGCACCGACGAGCCCCCAACATGAGCTCCCCCGGTCGGGGTCATTGCTATCATCTTGGGCAGGACGACCCTTAAAGGGGGAAACTAGACGCGAAAGACCTACTCCGAGGAATTGGAGTGCTAGGACTAGGATGTACTAATGACAATTGGTATCGAGCACTAACGCTAAGTGGGCTGTACAAACTCAATATAAAGAATTTTCTCCAAGCACAAACGACCAAATGCCTCGACTGACCACAGACGTAATGACCAACTGACCAAACACCCCAACCAAATTGTACCAATAGATGCAACGCGGTGACAACCCCATGAAAGACCCAACCGACCACAGATGGTCAAGGCCAGAAAAAGCCTTCGACGGGTACCATGGGAATGATGTCTCTACCACATAATGGCAAGAGGACGGCCACCGAACTCCGTGCACCCTCCTGACTCATGGTCGGAGTAGAGTTAACTGAGGACCACTGCTAGCCCAGCCGAAGAGCGTGAAGCTCTCCAATACCAGGTGCCATCGAGCTCCCCAACAACGTTGAGAGCTTGGAAACACCTAGGCCAGCATAAGACCGAGGCTACTAAGCCAAAGACCTCGGCCAACGAGAATCAGAGCCAAAGACCTTGGCCAATGTAAGACTGAGGACACAAAGCCAAAGACCTTGACTAGCATAAGACTGAGGCCGTTAGGACAAAGATCTCGACCAACGCAAGACCAAGGTCAGGAAGCCGAAGACCTCGGTCAGCAAGCATCAAGCCCATAACCTCGGCCAACGCAAGACCGAGGCCACGAAGCCGAAGATCTTGGTTAACGAGCATCAAGCCAAGCACCTCAGCCAGCCTAAGACCGAGGCCGCTAAGCCAAAGACCTCGGCTAACGCAAGACCGAGGCCACGAAGTTGAAGACCCTAGCCACAATGTCAATTCGAAACCCCGACTAGCCTAAGGGCCAAGTACCAAAGCATGGCCTATGGTCCCTACCCGACTAATTTAATTCCGAAGCGCAACAACTTAGAAAAAGAAGGGAAAAACAACACAGAAAGTGCTCGGTAAAAATACCAAACTTCCATTAATGAAAAAGTTGATACAATGATTACAAGCTCGGTATGTCAAGCTGTGTACAACAAAAAAAAGGGGAGAGACAGCGCATCAACTGTCCGCTATGGGGTCCTCGACAACAACAACATCTCTAGTAACATGCTCTTCGGTATCGAATGGGCCGAACCCTTGAATGATACCGGCCACTTTCGAGAACTTCTACATCACCCTCCACTAACAAAGAGTGAATCTCTCCTGCCAAGAGTCAATGGCATAGTCATCTAGCTCGTTCTAATGAACCTTCGAAGTTCTATACTTGGAGACACCCTCCTCCTTCGCTTGAGCTATATTCGCCTCGGCCTCCTCGAGCTTCCTCCTCAGCACGTTTCGCGCTTGCTTGAGATCATGGACGTGGCCCTTCAATTTGCGAATAGTGTTGTCCCTCTCCTCGACGCCGCGCTTCAAATCTACCAACTTCGCCTTTAGTTGGGCATTTTCAATCTCTCACAACTCATAAAATCGTCGCAACCCATAGAGGCGGTCAACGAGGCCAACGATAGAACAAACTAACTACAGGACATCAAACAATTAGTATAAATGAAGATAAACAAGGAAGGATAAGTAAAGCCGAACTCACTGCCATGATTTGATGAAAAGTCACACTCTCCAGGAAGCTGTTGGTGTGATTAATGGCTTCCTTCCTAATACTAGAGAGCATTACACCTGGGCAAGTTTTACAGCCACCCCCTTCGTCTCAAGGGTGTCCTCTGGCCAAACCGACCATTGAGGCACGTATACACTAGCAAAGCCCTTAGCCAAAGCATGTTCTGGAGCATCCCCCCTCTACGACGAGGACCGCCCGAGCTGAGTCGTGGCCTCCTTAGAGTCAACCATCATGACTTCCTCCGTCGACCTTGGCCTCTTCCCCTGCCAAAGCGTGCATCCTGCCTAGCGGTGCTGAAGCTCCGCGGCCCAGGGCTACGCACTTGAGGTCCTAGCTACCTACGCTTTCTTTGCGACCACGAACTTCATACGCCGAGCTCTCTCCTTAGCACCGGTCATGTCCGAATCTTCACAATTAATACAAAGTTAGATAAGCTCACCAAAAAAAAATCACGCAACCCACAGCCAAGGTCAACAATCAAGACGATGTGTACTCCCCGATGTGCACCCTCACTATCCTCCTCACAGTAGCTATCTCCTCCTCCGACAGCTCGGTTTGGGAATGACCCTTATCCTTGGTCCTCGGAACGGACAGGGCGAGGGAGAACGACCAACCTCCTCGACACTTCACAAAGCAAAAAAAACCCTCTTTTCAGTGTTTAATGGAAGAGGGAGCCCCAACGAGCACCTTGGTGTTCGGCTTGGCCGATAGGTAGTAGTACCCCTGATTGTGCTTTTTCAAGTGGAAAAAGATATCTAAACATTGGCAGGGTAATCTCAATATCCTTGAGAGTGCAGTAGTAGAGTAGCCCAACCAGGTACCGAAATGAGTTCAGCATCAACTGAATAGGCAGGACCCGATACCACCTCAGGACAGCCACTACCCCGGGATTTAAAGGGAATCTAAGACCTGCTATCAAACTATGGACATACACACAAATCTCTTCGGAATGGGCCGAAATGGCCCTCTCCCCGATCCCAGGACACCTCAGTTTATATTCCTTGGGAATGTGGTACACCTCTCGGATCTGAGCCAATTCGGTCAGAGAAAGACTACATGGAGCCGAGGCAAATTGCTCCTCCCCTCAAGGGCTTGCTCTTCTGACACCTCATCGGCTTTAATAGCTTCATCAACACTAGTCTCTCGGACACTAATCTCTCGGACCTTAGTGTCGCTCTCGTCAACGACCTCGTCCACATTGGCATTGGTCTCCGATACCCTAACCTCGGTCCCCTCATACCAATGACTATCCTCACTCTCATCCCCTGCAATATACCTAGTGAAAAGGGAAGACAGGGAAAACGTGGTGAAAGACATCTTATCGAAGAAAACATAAGGTTGGGACACCTGGGATATCAAGCAAGGGACATCAACCGAACTCCAATGAGCAAACTCTTCACAAATGACAAAGTAAAATGGCTTGCCTACTCCCCTTTTATAAGGGCAGCCAATGGTCAAGATCAAATCAAATCAATGGCGTTGATTCGACGCCGCACTTTGCATGCGCATAACCTTGGGAAGACGAAACGACGCATTTGCTGATCCGTAATGGAAACAACGTGAGCATTGAACCAGTCGGTTTGCCCACTGAACCGGTCTTACCTTGAGCTAGTAAACTCGAAAAAATTAACGTTCCTCAACCGAAGACCGCATAACTCTTCCACACCCAGCCGCAACCGAGCACTACGCTCGACTTTTGAATTAGGGGAGTGGTGTTCGGATGATGGTAGAACTAGGCAAAGAAGCCATGTGACTATCTCCGCAACTGCCCTCTCTCTCAAGCCACGTCAACACTACGCGTAATGGAAGAGCATGACTAAGGAGTGTCCTACACAGACAAAGAAGTGGACTCCGCCAGGGTAGAGGAAACCTCCAGAAGACCTTGACGGACACTCACATCTCGGCATCCTCGGAAACCCTATCCATTTGGACACGAACACCCAACTATAAATGGGTATTCCCCGCTCGAGGTAAGGGACTTTTGGAATAACACTTTAAATATCCTTATAAATTATCTCTTTAGCTCGGACCATGCTATTTTAGCCTACTCGTCTTAGCCACATCCTTTCCTATCTTATTGACTTGAGCATTGGAGTACCCACTTGAGAAACAACTCATTGATCCTCTAACTTTTCTCTTGGTTTTAGATCTCGGTACATGGTTTCATCTTTCCACCTCAACCCTGTCCAACTGGCAAGACTATCTGATTGCATCCTCAGTTCAGATAGTTATGATCCGAAGTGTTTTGAACTAATGACACAATCAGATAGTCCTGCCAATTAATGTTACAAAAAAAATTAACTAATATTTTAAATTTATATTAATTTTACAAAAATTAACAAAGAAACTGACGACACATGTTCTTTGTTTCATTTATATTTCTGTAAATTTATATTAATTTTACAAAAAGAGTTTACTAATATTTTAATTGAACAGGATATCTAGATATATAAACGATAATTCGAATCTATTGACCGGTTGATTCGTTAATAATTTTTTTTCTTTTTTTTCGGGTAACATAGTCGAGCCCGTTTAAATTGAATTCGGATAATGGTTATCTTAATCCGATCCCCCCGAAGCCTAACATTTCACTATTTCAGTGAACTGTTTCTTCTTACGTTTGATGATTGGTTGCGTGTCTGTGATTTATTGGTAGTTGCAAGGAAATGCTGCTCCGACAGTATGAGGCTCTGAGCACCTTCCACGAACCTTCTTTCTTCAGTCTTCACCACCGCACCAACACGATACCACAAAAAATCTGCTCTTTACCTAGAGATCGTCAAAGAAAATTCTCCCTCCATTTTCGAAAATAAGAAGATAAAAAGCACAAAATTGTTCGGGCATTCAGCGGTTGCTCAATTTCCACCGCCAGTCTTTATTGCCGCTGGTTGCCTTCATCGGATGTGGATCTCTTTGTTACGTTAGCTAAATCATCTTCTTTTTCGTGATCAGGTATGCATATCTAACTATCCCAGAGACGTTACATGGGCATTCGGTACGCCAGATCTGTCTTGTTTGGCCATTTAAATTATTCAGCTGATCCTGTCTATGTCTCTCTCCTCACTTGTTTACTCTTTCCAATCGCCCGAACTTCCATCGGAGGTCGTTTTCTTCTCTTCTTTTCTTTGTTTTGTTTGTGATACCAGCAACTCTTTTTTGGGTTTGTTTTAGGGCATCTGGAATTTGTTAACTATTGATTTCTTTACTTGTTTTGTCTTTTTTCTTATTGCTTATGCGTTCGGATGTGCTCAGATAAGGGAACCCAGCATTTTGAATATGTGGGTATTGGTCCGGGAATTGTCGGTAGGATGATCTAATTCGGGTTGAGAATATTTGAATGATTTTGTGCCTGAACTTCCAAAGTTGCATGTTGAGTCCGATTGTGAACATTCAAAATGGATATCCTGGTGGATATTTGAATATTTTTAATGCTTGTATAAGAGCTGAAATTTTGAATTTGTATAAATGCATTTTTTGTTTCATTATGAATTCAATGTTAGCCGGTTTTAGGTGCAGTGGTGCAATTGCATTAATGTGTTGCTTTTGATTGCTAAGTTTCTGCCTTTTTTCTTCAAAATGTGTATTCTTTGCCTCATGTCGCATGGAAGGAAAGAGAATTCCTTCTAAAATTGCATTGGGTTCTGTTCTTTTTTTTTTTTTTCTTTATTTCTTAGTTTCTTCGTCTCAGTTGGTTTACTGAATAGATGTCCATCTGCTTATGAACTAGATGATCTTGTATTAAAGGTTAGGGGCAGTGGGAAAGAAAAGCATAATTTTATGGTGTTCTTCGTGATCTTTCTAATGTACCATTCTTTGTGGGTGTAGTGATAACTTGGTGGTCCATGACATTGAGCTGCAGTTCAGATAAATTGTTCTAGCTGATGGCTCTCATTGAAGTGAGTCCCTTGAAGACTTAGTGTTAGCATCTAAGACATTAAATTAATACAGTTAGTTTAAAAAAATATTACAGACTCTATATTGGATTCTCATTGTATGTGGTAGTGCTATTTTTAATCAATAAAGTATTCTGTGCTAGCAGATGGGACAAATAGAAGAGAAGACAGATCTTGAATCTGAAGACAGTCAATTTAATTCATCCCAAGACACTAGAAAGAGGCATTGCTGTGAGACACCTCATCTTGTATCAGTGGCAAATGTTTCCCATACATTCACATATAAGAACATAAATGGTTGGCCAATCAAGAGTATTCCAATTGTCTTATTCAAAGCGAAGATTAATTTGTTGTTACCTTTTGGTCCCTTGGCAATATTGCTTCACCATCTTACTGGAAAGCATGTAAGCATTGTATTTGTCTTGTTCACTTATGTTTGCTTTAATTAAGAATTACAAAGAAATAAGGGTTTAGCATGAAAACTGATTTGATTTATACCTGCTTTTTAATTAATAATGGTAACTAGAAATAATTACTGTGATGAAATAAATTAATATGTTCACACATGGAAAGTCTTCCAATTCTTTCTATATCATTTGGATTAAATGTCAGTGGTGTAAGAATGCTTTCTACTGGTTTTCAATCCTCTAAGTTGGCCACATTTTAGGGATGGGTATTTTGCTTCAGCTTATTGGGCATCATTCCTTTAGCTGAGCGTTTGGGATATGCAACCGAGTAAGTTTTCTTATTATACTAAAATTGGGCACATAATGTTACTGGCATCCTGTTTTTTACTTTTAAACCTACTAACTTATATGCTTTTGCTTTTTCTTTTTCTTTTTTTGCTACAGACAACTTGCATTCTACACAGGTTCTACAGGTAAACATGCTCATTCTTTAGCAAATTATGGTTTGATACAGCATCATACACACAAGGCTGTGTTTGGTTGCAGTGCAATTTTATTTGCACTAGTACAAATGCATGGGAGTGCAAATAAAAAGAATTCGAATTCTGGTTTAATTTTGTTTGGGGTGTTACTTTATTTTGCTTCAAGTCTTGATTTGCTTCATTTGTACTGCAATTAAACAAAACAAGGTAAAATTTGGAATAAAGATAAATCATAATTTGCACTAAAATCATTTAGTGCAAATAAATTAGACTGTCATGGTTTTGCATCAGTGCAAATAAATTTTCATTGCAACCAAAGACAACCTAAAGAACATAGACTAATTTGAAACTGTACAATCATTTGAACCATTTATCTTACCCATTCTGTACTACAGCATGCAAACATACAAGGAATTGGGGGGGGGGGATTGAACCATTTGCTATTAAAATTTCGCTCTTGACAAATAGATTTTTTTTGTGAAGATAAAATAAAAGAATTTATTAAAACAAAAAGAAAGATACAAGGAAGGTGATAAGCAATCACCCAAAAGGAAAGGCCAACCCAAGCTGAACCCCAAAGAGACGGAAAAAACCCAAATCAACCAAAACCAGAATCAAGCTGAAAGCCTTCTAACAAAAGCCCCTTACCCATAACAATACAATACAAGACAAAAGCCAAAAGAAAACCAGAATATCAAACCAGCCCGATGCCCAACAAAAGCCCAAACCAGACACCCAAACCCTAACAAGCAACTTTAATCATCTTTCTCAGTTTTTTGAGTACAAATTTGTTGTCGTTTCTTGACTATTCCTTTGGGTTTTTTGATGAGCTTGTTTGGTCCCATTCCAAAAAGACCACCTTTTAACCTCGTAAAGACCTTAGAGACTGGGATCTGCTGTTGTAATTTTTTTTGTGCTTTTGAGTTCTGAATATTTTGACTGCATTTAGACTTCCCACCGCTATTTCAGAATTCCCCACTAATTTCTGACTCCTGTCTTCAATCATCACCCCCTCGACCTCTTCTTCTGGCTCCTCTATGAAGTCCCCACAGCATCCAGCCACTGCTTCCACCCCTTGCCTTGTTGAATTATCAAAATTAAGGTTAACCACTGGATCTATCAGACCTTCTTTCTTCCCAAATGTTTCCACCGTAGCTCTTGTTTCCTCCACAGATCTAAAGGCTTCTTTTGCGAATTCCTCCCCTCCTAGAAAAAACAGGCCCAAAATTTTGCTAACTTTCACTCCCCTATTCACTACTTCCTCGATGTTAGCAGACTTTTCTACCATATGGGTTTCTTCAATCATCGGTTCAGACTCATTTTCTTCCCCTGAATCCGCTTCCATCCCCTCTTCTCCATTCTCCTCTAATGGGAAAGTTCTGTACTTTTTCCTTTTATATGTTCTACCCCCCTTCTTATCTTCTTCACCTTCACTTCCCTCACCCTCAGTCTCCAAATCCTTCTTCCCTCCTTCCTCCTCTTCTACACATCTGTCCCCTTCTCCACCTCTATTCCCCCACTTYTCTTCCAAGACTACTTTTTCCTTTGCCCCTTCAGTCCCATTTCCCTCATCTCCCTTCCACAAACACCATTTGGGACTCTCCAACCACTTCATGTAGAACTTTCTTCAACCTCTTAGATAAAACTCTAGCCAACAACTTGTATGGGCTACTAATCAGGCTTATAGGTCTGAAATCCTTCAAATCCACCACTCCCTCCTTTTTTAGAATCAAAGATATGAAAGTAGCATTCACCATCTTCTCCAAGATTCCTCGTTATTGAAAAAAAAAGAAACTTCTCCAAGATTCTTTTCTATGAAATTCCAAACTATAGAGGTGCATAACCTCTTGTGATAATCAACCACCTTCTCTAGAGGTATGTAGGTCAAAGGAGGGGTTGAGGTTTAGGGCTGAGAAGGGTGAAGCTATTCAACAAAGCACTATTAGGGAAGTGGTTGTGGAGATTTGGTCAAGAGAGAGAGAGAGGGAGGCTTCATGGTGGAGGGTGGTGGTTGGAAAATATGGAGTGGTGAGGTTCAAGTGGGAATCAAGGGAAGTAAGAAGTTCTTATGGGGTAAGTGTTTGGAAGGGAGTTATGGGTTTTAATCAAGAGTTTAGAAGTCTGGTCAAGTTTAAAATGGGGGATGGTTCTATGGTGAGGTTTTGGGAAGATGATTGGCTCGGGGTAGGGAAACTATGTGAGGTGTGCCCAAGACTATACAAGCTGACGGAACACCAAGTCTCTATTGACCAGTGTTATGAGTGGAGAAGGGAGCAATTGATTTGGAACCCGAAATTCAGAAGACCTTTACTAGACCAAGAAGTGGAAGAGTGTATTCTGTTATTGGGTAGATGGAATTCTCCATCAAATTTGCAAAGCCTTTTTTCCCCTTCCTTCTTCAGGTGCTGAATGAAAAGGGGAAGGACCATGTGAAGATGCTTGAGGGCTGCAGTATGTTGGGCTTTATGGGAGGAAAGAAATTCTAGGATCTTCTCTGAAGTAGAGAGAGACAGTGAAGAATTGAGAGAACTGATCCATATAAGGGTAGTACAGTGGCTGAAATCTTCAAAGCTGTTTATAGACTTCACAGTGGATGATTTATTGAGGAAGTGGGGGTGAGATTGCTAATTGCACCCAGCCCAAAACAGTAATGAGTGTGTCTTGGACCCCCCTACCGACCGGTTTTTTAAAACTAAACTTTGATGGGAGTAGTTGGGGGAGTCYTGGACAATTGGGGATTGGAGGTGTGTTTAGGGATGAGAATGGGTTTATTTCAGCCATGTTTTCAGGCCCAATTGGAGTGGGTGACTCTCTCAGGGTTGAGATCTTTGCAGTTCTGGAAGGAGTCCAAAGAGCTAAGGAGATTGTTAGCGTAGGGGTATTTCTGTCTTTATACTTAGATTAATGTTGCTGATTTGTAATGTTGTGTTAGAACCAGTGCTCATTACTTAAATAAGGGCACATATGTCTTTTCAATTATTTTTAATGATAAAAGTACTGTCTGGCCGACTGGGAGAAGTGACTTCAGACTTCCAGTTCGAACCAGATTTTCTCCTTTCTCTCTTTCTTCCACCTTTCTACCTCTTTCCACATAACCGATCTCAGACAGATAGAACTTCAAGGCAGGCCGAATCATAACATGGTATCAAAGCTACTTGAATCTGCCTAGATTTCTGTCTGCCTAGATTTCTATTCTTTGCGCACCCTATCTAGGGTTTCTCTTGTTTTTTCTGCATTCGACTGGAGATAAGGGAAAGGGCTGAAAAGGAGTGATCGCCCTCTTCCCTTAGAGGTTTCTATTGCCTCTAGTCAGGTCTTGTGTGGTCGGTTGCTGTGGTTTCTAAGATCGCCCTCCCCTAATCGATGAAGAATAGAGGGCCGATCTGTGTGGTGCAGTGGCCGTCTTGTGTGGACTGATTTCCTGCTCGTGTGGTTGTTCCTTCAGTGATAAGGTAAGAGATTTCTGTGCATGATATCTGTTATGGATCAAACAGGAAGTGTGTTTCAGACCATATGCTGGTTTTTGTGTATTTCAAAGGAAGAGTTGTGATCATATAGTGGTGAGATTTCAGGTAGCCGTAGGGGTAGGGTTTGTGGTGTAAAGAGCACACTTTTCAGCAACAACAAGTGCTGAAATCAGTGTGACGAGTGTGATCTAGTTGTGTGCAGTGTGCAGAATTCAGCA